TTTTATTGTTTCATTCAGGGTCTCACAGTATAGCCCTGACCTGGAACTCACTATCTAGACCACACTGACCTTGAACTCATGGAGATCCACCTGTCTCTGCCTCCTGAGTGCTGGCTTTAAAGGTATGCACTGCCATGCCCATCACCAATTTTGTGTTTTAAATTGTTTTTTTAAGTGACATATGTTCATTGAAAATAGTAATGGCGGACCGGAGTGGTGGTGGTACACGCCTTTAATCCCAGCACTCAGGAGGCAGAGTCACATGGATCTCTGTGAGTTCAAGGCCAGCCTGGTCTACACAGTGAGTTCTAGGACAGGCTCCAAAGCTACACAGAGAAACCCTGTCTCAAAAAAAAAAAAAAAAAAAAAAAAAGTAACGGTTTTCATAGACATTTCCAAATAAGTACATCTGCACTTTGGCCACACCCGTGTGCCCTCCCCTTCCTCCCCCTCCCCTCCCATAATTACCATTCATTCCCACAGACTCCCTTCTGCTTCTCCATCCCATGTGCATGGACCACTTCATGTGCCCATATAAAATCTAAGATCTACAAATCAGAGAAAATATGTGATATTTGCCTTTCTGAATCCGACCTATTTCGCTTACTGTGGTTTTCTTTTTCCATGCAAGCAAGTTAAAAATGAGACTGCCATGCCAGATGTCCCCAAAGGTGGCCAGCCCCTCCACAGGTGGGCCTTCCTCACCTGCTCTGTCTTCCCCAATACCAGGCACCTCTGTGACCAACCGTGGGAGCTTCTACTGAGCCGACTTGAGAAAAGACACACCTCTCCCAAACAGAGACACAGCTTTCCCCTTGGGAGAGAGACACAACCCTATGTTCCTGGGTCCAAACCAACACCAAAGCCCAAAAACCCAGGACCAGCAAGATGGCTCAGTGGGTAAAGGGCACTTGCTGCAAAGCTTAGTGACCTGAGTTCAAGCCCCGGAACCGACTTAAAGGTGGAAGAAGAGAAGCAACTCTTGCAGGTTATGACCTTCACCTAGGCACCGGGGTGCCTGACGCCCCTACACACACATCACCACCATCATCATCCATTAAAAATAAGTGAAGTATCCTGGAAGGAATGTCCACATAGAGAGCACAGTAGCTAAGAGAAAACCCTGAGATGCATATGCTGCTGTGCACATCTGGAGCGGGTCACCCCACCCTGGCACCTCTCCAGCCTCAGTTTCCTCATCTGCAAAACAGAAGTGCCTACCCCCGAGAGGATTGTTGCGAGTCAGGGAAGCCACATCTAGAAGGGGCTCGGGATAGTCCACCGGCAGAGCCAGCCTAGGTCACTACTGATGCTAGGACACCTTCCAGAGGAAGGGACTAGAGGCTGCGGAGGTGGCTGTCAGGAAAGTGTTTCCAGGCAAGCGTGAGGACCTGAGTTCGATCCTGCAGCGCCCATCTAAAAAGCCGGGTGCAGCTGCGCACTCTGAAACCCCGGCACCCCAGAGACAGGAGGATCCCTACGGCTCACTGGCCAGACAGCCTAGACTGATTGGTGAGCTCTCGATTCAGCGAGAGACTGTCTCAAAAAAGCAAGGTAGAGTGGTGATAGAGGACATCACCTGATGTTGACCTCTGACCTCCATACACACACAAAGGCGTGAGAGCATAGAACAAGAAACCTCAAAGGACCAGGAGGGAGGCAGGTGTGCATGCATGGGCCGGCCAATATCTACCCTTTATTTTTTTTTTTAAAGTATTATTTGGGAGGGTGCACATGCCAGGGCATACAGATGGAAGTTAGATGGCTTAGCCTCCCCTGTAAACATCTTCACCCATAAACGTAAATAGCCCTCGCTCGCCCACCTGCAGAGGAGCATGCTCTCTGGTGCTCCTAGCAGAAGAGGCTCATAGAACCTGCCTGCCGCGCAGAATGTAGCCCCGGAGCCCCCACACCCATCAGCACCTACACCCTTCTGACTCCTGTCCCTATCTTTCAGGGATAGGGCGGTCGCTGTCATAGCCGGGGACTCCTTAGGTGGAAAATGCCTTAGCCAGCCAAGCGCTAGGTGTAAGGTTAGAAAGTCCAGGGCCATGAGTTGAGAAGACATCCCCTGGCCTGGCCGCAGACCCCTACCTGCCGCAGAGCTGTGTTCAGAGGCCCCTTCCTACTCTGGACCACTTCCTCCCAAGAGCTGAGGGTGGTACCTAAGCCCCTCCTCCTCCTCCTCCTCACAGGCCCCGGGGGGCCGAGAGCCACAGCCTTCAGGAAAAAGGACTCTCTCCATCCCTCTCAAACTGAGACCCAAGAGAGAAAGGGCTACCCGGAACTTGGGGGCTCTCTGAGAAGGAAACCCTTAAAGGGCTTTACTGGCCTAGACCACCCTCCCAGACTCCGAGCCAGCAAACGAGGGGCTTCTTTTTTGTCCTTCGGATCATGGCAACCGCTGCGCTCTTTGTCACCCAAGCGGAGCTCCTGAGGAAGCCCCACGCCTCCCGGTTCCTGCCACTGGCGGGAGGAGGGGCGCCAGATGATTTACTCTGGGAAGGTCCCCAATGCCATTAAATCACCGGAGGCTGCGACAGAATTAGCATTTCCCCCACCCACCTCCACTTCCCCACACCACAGGGCCACCCCTTCTCAAGACCCGGTGTAAATGAGAAACAAATAAACCACTCGCCACAGCACGGGGACCAGGCAGGGCTAAGCCCTGTGACTTGCAAGCCAACAGCGCCGTCCCTACATTTGCGAACTTGTCACTAGCAAGGCTCTGTGGGGGGGGGGGGGGGGTGCACCCCACCCACCCCATTCCACAGACACCCCTCCCCCAAAATAAAAGCATCAAGGGTCAACAAAGCAAGACTTGTCAATTTCCCCCAGGGGACGTGGTCTGGAACTGCATCCCTAACTTCCAAAGCCACAGCATGCACAAACATGGTTTAAATGATGGGGCCCCCTGGTCGCTAAGCCGGAGGATTTGTGCTGACTCCAACCATGTACAATTCCGTATGCTTCAGCCCTCACGAGGCTCCAAGAAGTCCGCCCACCACTCCTTCCCGGGGTAGCTGCCCACGCAGGAAGGGGGCACAGGCAACAGCGTGTGTGCAATGAGAGCGCCTCCTCACAGCTGAACTCTCTCTCTCTCCCCCAAGCCCCTCTCCCAGGACCTCAGCCAGTCCAAGGTTGGTCCAGAAATGATCTAGAAAACGTAGCCAGTTCTAGACGAAGCTGGTTAACTCCCAATCAACCAAGAGTAGGCAGCTCTTTCAGGAACATCACCCTTGCTTTGGAGCTAAATATAGACTTAGCAAACTGTGTTCTCTTTATGTCCCTGGTGGGAACCGGTGGAAGGCACGGGCGACCAAGGACCCCAAGCATGGAAAACTCTGCTTTGGTGGCTGTGCTGACAGCATCCTCAGAGGGCCAGAAATGGGTTCCCAGGGGTGGCACATTCTTCCTCTCCCTCCCACCACAAGCCGCCCAGAGCCATGCACAGGCTCTTCCGTGGTTGGGTGGGGCTGGACAGGGTGAGGGGACTCATTCTGGCACAAGACAAGAGGCAGGCAGCTTCCTCCTCCAACCGCTCTTGAACACAGCCAGGCGAACGCTGACCCCCATGGAGAGAGAAAATAGCCACTACACTGCAATTTCCAAGTCCGAGGGACTGTGCACTTTGGCAACCGCGTCTCAGGGCTTCCGCTCTGAGGAAGCGGCCTGGACCCCGTCAGTGCCCCACTCCAGGCCGCAGATCAGTGCCAAGAGCCAAATAGCCCTCGGCTGCTCATTAACCACGCCAAAGAAGAGCCCTCCCTCCACTTTTAAGACCAGTGCAACGTCCTCCGGGGGCCCAACCAAAGCTCCGGGCTGACCACTATCTCTCCAAGAGGAAAGTCTTAGTAAATATTTGGGGTCACTTGAGGGCATCGGGGAGGAAGGCAATATTTACTTTTTCCCCCATGCACAGTCATCCTTATAAACAAGTCAGCATCCAGGCTTGCTCCTAAGTGGGACCTCACCTAGGCAGCCAGAGCCGCAAAGTTGAGGTTGCGTTTTTTTTTTTTTTCTTTTCCTTCTGCATTCTGGGTATCCGTACGGTTGGTTGGTTTAAGGAACGGGAAGGGATGCTCTCAGTCTAAAAGCTACCTGCTCCCAAAACGTGTGTGTTTAAAGGTCTGGAGAACACAGCCCTCGCACGCACATGAACATGGCTCGTGACTGTCGCTTCTTCCCAGCCTTTGGGATTGTCTCCCCTTGCCTGGGGTGGGGGAGGGGGAGCTACTGTCATTTTAGGATAAGCTTCCTCTACAACCAACACGTAGCAACATCGAGGTGGCCGAGTTGAGCCAACTCCAGCCCAGACTGCAAACAGCAAATACCTGGCTATTCTGACTTGCCCATTCGCGGGCTTTAGGCGACAGCTGCGCGGGTCCCAGCTTGGAGCCGGGCTCCCCGATCCCGGGGCAAGGGCTTTGAACACTGACACCTTAGACATCACCAGATGCCTGCACGACCCGGGGCTGCTGGACCACGCTCCGGGGCCCTGACAGCCCACGGGTCAGGGCGCTGGGGCGACCTGCGCTTCCAGGGGGCGAGCAGCGGGGTCACCTGGTTGCCTTCGGGAGCCACTTGGCGGGGAGTGGGTGGCTTTGGGAAGCTGGAGACAGGAGGGCAACCGGGCGCGGGAGGGACTACGGCCAAGCCAGACATCGCCGGCCGAGACGACCTCCAGGCCCCGCAGGTGTCCAGGCAACAGGACAACGGTCCACAGACGCTGGGCCACGACATCCCCCGCCGACCCCCGGACCCGGGTGCCCAGCCAAGTGAGGAGAGGAATCCGGGGAGCCCTGCCTGTGGCTCCCGGAGCCCCAAAAGGATGCGAAGGGCAGCTGAGACTGGAGAGGAGGCAAAGGGAACGCGCGCGGGGCTTGGGCCGCCCGAGGCTTCCCAGCCCCGCCAAGAGCAGGAGGCGGCGGCCGCCCGGGACTTGGGACCCAGGCAGCAACTTTGCGCGCGGGGTCGGGGAGGGGACGCGGCCGCGTTACCTGCGCAGCGGAGCGCGCTCAGCGCCAGCAGCAGCCCGAGCGACGCGGCCGGGGCCCGCATGGTCCTCCCGGGAGCCGGCGCCGGGCTCCGCTCGCTCCAGCGCCGCCGCCGCCGCCGCCGCCGCCGCCGCCGCCTCCCGCACCTCTCGGCTCCGCGCTCGGCCGCCCGGCTGCAGACGGCGGCGCCCGGGCTCAGCGCGCGCCCGCCCTGCACTTGGCCCGAGTTGCGCGGCCCCCGCCGGCGCCGCGGCTCCTGCGCCCCAGCGCGCGTCCCATCCCGCCGCCGCCTCGGCCAGCGCCAGCTGCCGGCCGCCCCTCTAGCCAGCGCGAGAGTGAGCGAGCCGAGCAGGGAGGAGGGGAGGGAGGAGGGAGGAGGAGGAGGGGAGCAGCCAGCAGGGAGGAGGAGGGAGGAGGACAGGAAAGGAGGAGGAGGGAGAAGGGGAAGGGAGGAGGGAGGAGGAGGGAAAGGGAGAAGGAGGAACGGGGCTAGAAGAAGAGGGAGGAGGATGGAGTTGAGAGGGGAGGAGGAGGAAGGAGGAGAGGAAGGGAAGGGAGGAAGAAGAGGAATGGGGTATAGAAGACGGAGGGAGGAGGAACAAGCGCCCGGAGGTGGAAAAGGATAGCAAAAGGGGAGGCGGGGAGGTGCCCTCCCCCGGGGCCAAGACACCAAGCGGCCACCCAGCGGTTAAGCTGCAAGATGTGCCACTCTCTCCCAGGCGAGGGCGCAGGGCCGCAGAGGCCTGTGGAGACCGGAGTAGGTAGTCGGAGTAGGGACAGAGAGAGCATGTCGAGTGCGGACGGGTTCCCAGGGTGTGTTGGGGGCGCAACGATGGGCGTCCCCTCGCAGAGGAGGTGTCTGCGAGGGACAGATTGCGAGGCTGAGCGCAGACAGGGCACGTGATGGATGGATGAGGTGTGGCCTGAGAGGGCCCTCACGAGTGTCTGCCAGCCCCAGGCAGACCAGGGTGCTCCTAGGGTGCTGGGGTGTCTGCAGTGTGCTAAGCCCGGGCCACGAATTCCCCATCAGGGCAGTCATCGGGTTACGAGGTGGGCCAGGCTTCAGCCAGCGTGGGAATGCAATCGCAGGTAACAGGGGCATAGAAACTACTGTCCCTCTGGAAGCACAAGCACTAGCCTAGTCCAGGCCACAGGTTGAAACAGGGAAACCCTAAGGGGCTTCTCTAGTCGCCCTGAGAGGCCATGGAAGTTCCCTCCAGCAGGCTACAAGGCCAGTGGCTGTGGAATCCGCCTACCTGGGTCTTGCCCTGCCCAAACCGATCACACTGGCCACCAGTTTCTGGTGTCCCGGCTTTGCGTGGAAAAATGGGTCAAACTTCAAATCGGTCAGCTGGGGTGATGCAGACTTCAGCCCAGCGTCCTTAGCTGAGAACCCAGCTCAGCCTGGGCAACCTAGGGCAGACAGAACTCATAAGCCTGTTTCCCAACCTGAAACATGAAGTCCGGGGCAGCCTCTAGCTGGTGTCCCCAGTAATGCCCAGAAAGCCCCTGACCTGATCACCAAGGGCAGCACTCCCATGCTTACTGCAGCCATTATCCCTGGGTGTCTGATTTCCCTCCAAGGGCAGGCAGGCAGGCAGGCATCGGAACACTCCAGCCTTCCCAGCTGGTGAGGGGGCTGGCAGACCTGCTTCATTAGTAGGGGCTCATTAGCCCAGGCAGCTCCAGGCTCTCCCACAATAAAAGAAGAAAGAGCAAGAAGCAGGTGCCTGGTCTTAGGCCAGGTTAGCTACCAGGAAGGAATTCTACTCTGCCTACAGTCAGCCTTCCACGGGAGCTCCTGGCCTGGCCAAGGAGCTCCTGGGGGGGGGGGGGGAGCATCAATGGCTGGACGGTGGGTTCTCGGCTTCTCCTTGGGTTTGGAGGGTCTATCTATTCCCTCTCAGTGACTGTGCCTGTGGGGGTGTTGCCCAGCCTCAGGATCTCCCGTGTGCTGTTCCAGACACCTCTTTTACTCATGAATACCGCTGAACGGAGCACCTACTGTGTGCAAGGCCTGGGCACACGGAAACACAGTGGGCCTGCCGCTCCTGAGGAACAGCCGGTAAACAGCAGCCCCATGATGTAGGTACCCCAGGCTGCAACCACAGCCAGAGGGAGGCCAGGGTGGACTTGACCAAGATCGTCGAGAGGTAGGATCTGTGACCAATGAGAAATCATGTCATAAAATGGATCACAGGGGTCATTCTGTGTGGCTTCATTGGTGGAAGGGATAGCGCACGGAAGGCAGGCATGAATCCACCCAGCAAGACCACGAGCCAAGACCCATCAAGTCCCAGGTGTGATGGGAGGCATCAGTGACCTTACCCACCACACACACACACACACACACACACACACACACACACACACACACTTCTGCTCTGAGGCACCCCATCACACCCCAGAGAGCTGTTCTGTTTATCTAGGGTAGAGCTAGACTGGAGTGCTCTCCCCCGACTGACACTCACTCACAGGTGATGAGTTAATCCCACAAAGAGGAAAGGGGAGTCTGTTTTGTGGCATGGCAGAGAGAGTGAGCTGCTGTGTGACTTTGCATAAACTCCTAACCTTTTCTGAGCTCCTTTGAGCGGTAGGAGCCCTGCTTTGGCCTGTGCCTTCACTGGGTAAGGATGTCTGCATTTAGCCAAGCCTGGGTTTCAGATGGTATTTATGGAAATTCTAAGCTGGGGCGGGGGGGGGGGGGCGCAATAAAGGGCCCAGAAAGGCTGAGGAGCTGACAGTATAACCAGAAGGCCCCATTGCTCCCTCAGCAAATTCATCTTCTCATCCCTACCCAACCTCAAACCCGCCCCCCAGTCTCAGCTCCAGCCTGATGATCTGGGAACCAGGCAGCCCCCCCCCCCCCAAGGTTCTGTGCACACCTGGAGAAGCTGAGGCCAGAAATGACCCTCCCCCCTGGTTCTGTGGTGTGGGGAGGGAGAGTTAGCCTGGTCCTGAGGTGTAGAGCTCAGGCCACCCCTACCTAGCAGGTGGCTGTCCTCTCCCGATCCTCCCTCCCGGGCTTCGCCTCTAAAGCGCCGCCCAGGTGCCGCTGGGCTGCGGTCAAAGAGTAACATTGCCATCTTGTGGCCACAGCTGGCACTGCCTCTCCAGGCGGCGCAGGCTCTCGCCCCGGGAACCGAGAATGCTGGGGGCGGAGGGGCTCCCGAAATAGAAGACCATCTAACTTAAATAACAGGAATCAGGAATGCGCTAAGAGTCGGGTATTTCAAGACGTCCGACACAAGATGGAGAGAAGGGCCCTCTTTTCTTTTTCTGAGGTGTTCAAAGCCTCAGATTCCTGACCCTGCTGCCTTCTCCGCCTAGAGTTCTGGAATGGCAGCCTTACACCCATAGTTGTATGCGGTGCTCTGGATCGAACCCAGGGCTTTGTGCATGTTAGGCCACTGAGCCACATCCCCAGCCTCCTTCCTGGGTTTTATTCTACAGAGCACTGTTATCACTCTGGCTCTCCCTATGGGAATACCACCTTCTGTCCATCCCCAACAGCTGGGGACCTGGCTAGACCTATGTACCAGGCTTGCCACAGGGAACCCCAGCGACTATCCAGGGAAGGAAAGAAGGAAAATAGAAAGGAGGGAAACTCGGGGTCAGAACAGCAGGTTAACGAGGTGGCGGAAACCCCCATAAGCCTGTGAATTGAGCCCTGAAGAAGGGAAGGCAAGGAAGTTCAGCAGGAAAAGGGGCTGGCCCCATATGTCTGACTTCAATGCCTGGAATCCACACTGGAAGGAGAGAACTGACTGCTGTACACATGCAGTGGTACATATCAACCACCCCCACCCCCCAATTCATAGTCAAAACAGTAATAGCTTTTTTAAAAAATTGAAACATTGTCTCACCGTGTAGTCCTACCTCACCCGGAACACACTATGTAGACCAGGCTAACCTCAATCTCATAGACATCCACTTGCCTCTGCCTCCCAAGTGCTGGAGTTAAAGGTGTGAGCTACCACATACATTCAGAAGGGATTGGAGTCCATGTAAAGGCCACATAAGAGAGTAATGTGCCCCCACACACACACACACACAAAGACCTGGCTAGTGGGGGTGAGGTGCTTAAGAAGGAAATGCCAGGGGTTGGGGATTTAGCTCAGTGGTAGAGCGCTTGCCTAGCAAGCGCAAGGCCCTGGGTTTGGTCCTGAGCTCTGAAAAAAAAAAAAAAGGAAATGCCTTGTAGCCCTTCCACTGCTCAGCAGCAGGGCAGAAGGTGTATAAGAAAGAGTCGGTCAGGGGCCTGGAGAGATGGTTCAGAAGTTGAGAACAGTGCTGTCCTTCCCAAGAACTCAGGTTCAATTCCCATTCACAACTATCTGTAGCTCCAGTTCTAAGGGATCCAATGCCCTCTACTGGTCGCTGTGGGTACTACACATGTGAATCACAGACCTACATTGTAGATAAAACTTATATACATAAAATACTGACTTTCAAATAACAATTTAAAAGAGTCAGCAGTGAAGGCACCCCATGGTTGGAACTTGAGAACAATTTTAAGATGTACTAGAAAGAGAATGAGGCTGATCGTCATGAGCAAGGCCAGAACACACACACACACACACACACACACACTCAAAGTGTCAAAATCCACAGAGCCTCACATCGCCCACCTGGACCACGAGGTTGGGTTCACTTCAGCAGCCTTTCAGATATCTGCAGACCTTGCCTCAACCACCCAAATGTAAACTAAAGAAAAGGCAGAAAGGGTTTCACTGAACGAGAGGCAAAGGTCCTTCTTGACACCTTGTTGAGTTTGGGTGTGATGGGAAGGGCTCAGGTAACCACGGATGACAGCGTCCACCACCAGCTTCAGGTGGCAGAAAAAAAAAGACAGATTCTGACCTCTTAACCACGGTGTCGTCTACAGCAGAGCTGTAGACACAGACGTCCTCTGAGATGGTGCACAGCGGTACTTCAACTCCGCCATCCGGGCAGGCGTCCATGACTTGCAGCCAAAAGCAGCCTGGATGATAGAGGCAGGTTCGACGAGAGCCCTGAATGGACAGTTAGTCGGGAGTACTTAACACCCAGCCCAACAACTCAGAACGTACGTCAAAAGGGAGAAGAGAAACAAAACACAAATTGCTTCTTCTGTTATGCTGAATTTTTGAGG